TAAAGGCCGGTCTGTGAAAATATTGTCTGACATTAAACCGTCTGTGGGGCAAAAAACGTTGGGGAGCGCTGATTTAGTGTAAAGACAAAATACTGCATACTGTTAGTGAAGGAAAGGGAAATCAGCTCATGAAACATCTGCTTACATCTTGTTAAATTCAATTATAAATCCACAAAGACCAGCAGGTCAGCTGATCACAGCCTGAACACAAAGAAAATCTGAGTTCACATTAGAAACGATTGTTAGTTGTGACTCTTTTCCCCACATGGAGCCACTACAGTCGTTCCCCACTGTTTGGATGAAGAGGAAAACTTACCATTTACAACGACGCCATTATTGAGGCAACTGAAAAAGTCACTCTTGTGTCCTACATAACCGAATTTAGATTTGAACATTTGTATTATCATGTATAATATGATCTTATTATTATTATATTAATACAGCACAGGGTTCAGTTGCTTTTGCATAAACATCCATGCTAGAACTGTCCTTAGCAGCTACTTTTTAACTTTCTTGCTTTGAGAACATTTCAGAGCTTTTTCACCTTTACTTGAGTAAAGAAGGTGATTCAGTACTTCAGCTTTTACTAGAGTATTTTTTAAACACAAGTATCTGTATTTCTACTTAAGTAAAGAATGGAACAGCCTTGGGACACCTGAGGCATCCCAGACATATCCAGGACTGGCTCACTGACTGGTTCTGACCTGGTTCTGCAGGCCAATGCAGCAGGAGAAGGGAACTCCACAGGCCTCCAGACTCGGGTTGGTGTCCGAACACTCGAAGTAGACGTTACGGGACCAGTTTTTATAGCTTTCAACTCCACAGCACTGGAACTGCAGTCACAGTGAAGCAGAAGTCATCACAACAGTAAAAAAGAAAAATTACTGAATCTTAAAACTCGTCTCCACCTTCTTCTGGATGAAGTCAATGGCGTTCTCCAGGTCTTGGTCCTCCCTGTATTGTTCAATTGCCTTCATCATCAGCCTCTCAGTTCTCTCCATCACCTGAAAAACAAGAGAACTGTCATGGTTTGTTTACTGCTTCGGTTTAGTACGATTTTTCGACGTCTTGTTACCGTATCAGTGAAAAAGTATCCCACGAACGCAGCTGCGATCTGCAAGAGTAAAATGGCCACCAGGAGTCCCACAAACTGCAGGACAAATAGGAGCTGATTAGAACCGACGGCCAGAGTCAGAACCAGATAAAAACCAGCACACTGACATACCGTCTTCAGCAAGCAGATGGTGTTACGCAGCGCCCCGAAACATCCGAGGAACGTGATGAGGAACATCACAGAGCCGACGACGATCAACAGTAGAGCGGGATCAACCGTCAGGGTGTCAACCACATCTATACACAGACACAGTATATGTTCTTCTATGTTTGTGGATATCATGGATTTCCAGGACCCTTATCCCGACTTAAAGATGATCATAACATGGACCCGAAACCCAAATCCTTGAAAAATCTCTTTTAAGGTCTTTCCAAAAGTGAAGACATGGCTAAATGTCCTCGCTTACCTATTGTTAGCAGAACGTACCCCGACTTAAACCTGATTCCAAAATGGACCCTGGAACCCAAAAGGTCATTCTGGGAATCCTGGAAAAGTCCTTCACAAAGTCTGCCTCAGTGTTTTGACCGGGTCTAAATCCCAGTTGTTTCCCAGAGGTTCGTGAACGAGCCAACATTCACCTCGACATCAGTGATAACACAAGAGCAAGTAAACGTTGAAACATGTCTGAAGAACTCCGTGGCTCATCTTCAGGAATGTGATCAACAAGCCTTGTTTTGATTACCCGACATTCATACACGGCCGTTATTCCAGGACATTCCACCGACTTGGAGACTTTCACAATCCATAAAACAAATCTTTGCTTAATTAGTTTGAATCTTCACAAAGTGACTGTGTGGACAGATTTATAACCCTGGCATTAGTAATTAATATTTTACATATCAAGAGACTCCGTTACACTCTCACACTGTTTCCATGACAACTTGATCAACTTCCTCCCACAGTCCAAAACATGGAAGATGATTCGAAATTGGCCACATGTATGAATCTGAGTGTGAATGGTTGTCAGACTCTGTGTTGTACCTGCAGTAGACTGACAACCTGTCCAGGTCGTAGCCTGGCTCCACCCACCCTATGACTCATCTAGAGATAGCTACCAGATATCTATATGTGAGAATTAGACAAAACAAAGCCGAGACAAACCTTCATACAATCTTGACTGTGCACAATAAAGATAACATTCAGACAAAATGCAGAGAAATGAGGCTTAAATTCCTTTCATTTTTTAATAATGCCAAGAAAAAATCAATAATTCAAAGAGGACTAAACTAACCTACCTTTCTCTCTGGCGATCTTAGCATAGATCCCCACTGCTATAAGTATGGCACTCACAACCTGCAAAGTCACAGAGAAACGCAGATTTCATTAGAACAGAGGAACAGCTGTAACTAGCTCTACTGTCACTGGAATTAACATCATTTTCATTCCTGTGACTGTGGCTTAG